TCAAACTGTATTACAAAGGCATTGTAATCAAAGCGGCCTGATACTGGTACAACAACAGGCATATAGATCAATGGAACAGAACAGAGACCCCAGAAATAGACCCACGCCATTATGGTCAGTTAATATTTGACAAAGGAGGCAAGAGTATCCAATGGAGTAAAGACAGTCTCTTCAATAAGTGGTGCTGGGAAAATTGGACAGATACATGCAAAAGAATGAAACTAGACCACCAACTTTCACCATACACAAAAATAAACTCAAAATGGATAAAAGACTTAAATGTAAGTCACGAAACCATAAAAATCCTGGAAGAAAACATAGGCAGTAAAGTCACAGACATCCCACGTAGTGGACTTTTCACTGATACATCTCCTAGGGCAAGAGAAACAAAGGAAAAAATAAACATATGGGACTACATCAAACTAAAAAGCTTCTGCACAGCAAAAGAAAACAGCCTCAAAATACAAAGGAACCCCACGGTCTGGGAAAACATATTTGCCAAGGATGAATCTGATAAGGGGCTAATTTCCAAAGTGTACAAAGAACTCATAGTACTCAGCAAGAGGAAGACAAACAACCCAATTAAGAAATGGGCAAAGGACTTAAATAGACACTTCTCCAAAGAGGACATACGGATGGCCAAGAGACACATGAGAAAATGCTCGACGTCGCTGATCATCAGAGAGATGCAAATTAAAACCACAATGAGGTATCACTTCACACCTGCCAGAATGGCACCATCAATAAATCAACAAAGGACAGGTGCTGGCGAGGGTGTGGAGAAAGGGGAACCCTAGTACACTGCTGGTGGGAATGCAGACTGGTGCAGCCACTATGGAAAACAGTATGGAGGTTCCTCAAAAAATTAAAAATGGAGCTGCCGTTTGACCCAGTGATTCCACTCCTAGGAATGTATCCTAAGAATCCTGAAACATTCATCAGAAAGGATATATGTACCCCGATGTTCATAGCAGCACAGTTTACAATAGCTAAGATCTGGAAACAGCCCAAGTGCCCATCAGTAGATGAGTGGATAAAAAAGCTGTGGGACATTTACACCATGGAATACTACGCAGCTGTAAAGAAGAAGAATCTCGTACCCTTTGGGACAGTATGGATGGACCTGGAGAATATTATGCTAAGTGAAATAAGCCAGGCAGCGAAAGACAAATATCACATGATCTCGCTTATACGTGGAATCTAAAGAACTTAATAAACTGATGAACAGAATAGATTCAATGACATGGAAGCATAGATGAGACTGATGAATGTCAGAGGGATGGAGGAGGGCGGGTGGGTGGAGGGGGAGAGAGTAACCAAAAAATGTATATGCATATATACACAACCCAAGGACACAGACAGTGGTGGGGAGAGGGACTGGGGAGGGGGATGGGATGGGGTGGAACCGGTCATTGAGGAGAAAAAGGGACATCTGTAATATTTTAACCAAAAATAAAATTTAAAAATTAAAAAAAATAAATAAAAATCAGCCTTAGCTGGTTGTTCAGTGGTTAGAGCATCGGCCCAAGGACTGAAGGGTTGGTCCCACGTTTGATTCCAGTCGAGGGCACATACCATGGTTGCTGGCTTAATCCCTGGTCCATGTCGGGGCACATGTGGGAGGCAACCAGTCGATATATTTCTCTCACATTGATATTTCTCTCTCCACCTTCCACTCTCTCTGATAAAGCAATGGAAAAAATATCCTCAGGTGAGGATAAAAAATAATAATAAAATTATGTAAACTTATAATTAATATGTTTAAAAAGCAAAGGTAATTTTTAAAAATTAGTAAGAAGAGCAGGTTAAACCCAAGGGAAACATAAGAAAAAATAATACAGATAAGAACATAAACCAATAAAATTGAAGGCAGAAGAATAGCTAGAGGAAATCAGTGAAATGGAAATATGGTTCTTTGAAAAAAAAGACACAAATTACCAATATCAGGAATTAAAGAGGGGATATCACTATGTCCTACAAGCATTAAAAGGATAAAGTGAACACTACAACACTAGGTCCATAAATTTGACAACTTAAAAGAAATGATGGCCCAATTTCTTGAAAAACACTCTTTCACTACATTAGTTTTTTATTGCAGCATGAGATTAGTGCCTTAAAACAACCCACATTATCTTACAGTTTTATAGGTCAGAAATCTGGCAGTTTCACAATGTGAAAATCAAAGCCACCAACAGGACTGCATTCCTTCCTGTCGGCTCTGACAGGATCCATTTCTTTGCCTTTTCCAGCTCCTAGAAGCTGCCTGCATTCGTTGGCTTGTAGACCCTTCCTCCTCCTTCAAAGTTAGCAAAAGCAAGTTCAGTTCTCATATGACATCCTTCTGACTGACTCTTCTGCCTACCTTTTCCACTTTAAGGCCCCTTGTGATAACATTGGGCCCACCTGGAAAATCCAGAATAATCTCTTTATTTTAAAATCAGCTGATATGCAACTTTAATTCCATCTGCAACCTTAATTCCCCTTTTCCATATAGCAAACATATTCACAGGTTCCAGGGAGTAGGATGTGGACATCTTTGGGGAGCCACTATTCTGCCTCCCACAAACACAAGCTACCAAAGCTCACTCAAGAATAAATAGGTATCCTGTGTAGTCCTATTATCTACTGAAGAAATTGAATTCATGGTTTAAAACCTCACAAAGAGAATGCCAAACCCAGAAGCTTTCATTGGCAAATTCTCCCAAATAATACCAATTCTATACAGTCTCTTTCTGAAAATAGAAGAAAATACTTCCAAATCCATTTCATGAGGCCAGCATTACTCTGATACCGATACTAGACAAAGATATTAAAAGAAAAAACTCTACAGAGTAATACCCCTCATAAACAATGAGGACAGGAGGTATTGGGGAGGGGAGATCTGGAGGCTGTAGTAAGGACTTCAGATTTCTCTAAGGTTCCTACTGAAATCCTTGATGCAGGACTCAACGGAATCCTAGCAAATCGAGTGTGGGCAAAAGTAGGTTTACAGTTTGTATGGAAAGAGACAAGTTATGATTATTATAGTAGCTTTATTAACTCAAAAGAATGTCACAGTGCAACTGGAAACCTATTTTTGTCCACCTTTGTGTATAAAAGGATGCTACAGCATCACCAAATGGGGTTTATCCTGGGAATGCAAGGATAGTTCAACTCAATTCCCATATTAACAGACAAAAGAAAAAGCCATACAATCATCTCAGTAGATGCAGGAAAAAAAAAACACCTGACAAAATTCAGTATCTACTTATAATGAAAACTCCCAGCAAATTAGGAATAGAAGGGAACCTGATGAAGGGAAACCACGTAAAAACCTATAAACAAACATCAAACTTAATGGTCAAAGACTGCTTTCTCCCTAAGACTGGGAACAAGGCAAGAATGCCCACTCACTTCTCCTTTTCAGTATTGGACTGGAAGTCCTGGGCAGTGCAGTAAGGCAAGAAAATGAAATAAAAGGCATACATATTGAAAAAGAAGAAATAAAACTGTCTCTATTCACTGATAACATGATTGTCAATGTAGAAAATCCCGTGAAATGTACAAAAAATTTCCAACTTACTGTTAATAAACAATGAGTTTATTAAGGTCACAAGATATAAGGTCAATATACAGAAATCAATTGCATTTCTATGTACTAGCAATAAAATATTGGAAATGAAATTTAAAAAACAATATCATTTATAACAGCATCGGAACAGATGAAATACCTATAAGTCTGACAGCAGAATTTTAATGCTGAAAAGTACAAAACACTGATGAAAGAAAAAAAGATCTAAATAGACACACTGAGTTCATGGGTTGGAAGTATTGTTAAGATGCCATCCCTCCAGAATTGACCTATAGAGTCAATGCAATCCCAGCAGGAACTTTTTGGATACCCAGAGTCTGATTTGAAAACTTATATGGAAATGCAAATGAATTGGAGTAGCTAAAACAATCTTGAAAAAAGAAAAAATTTGGAGAACTCACACTACCTGATTTTAAAACTTACTACAAAGACTATAGTAATCAAGACATTGTGTCAGTGGCCAAAGGATAGACACATAGACCAATGAATGACAATAGAAAGTTCAGAAATAGACCCCTACAAATACATTTAATTGATTTTTGATAAAGGTGTAAAGACAAAGACACTCCAGTGAAGAAAGGATCATCTTTTTAGTAAGTGGTGGTGCAGCAACTGGACAGCCGTATTTTAAAAACTGAACCTTGACCTATATCTGTCATGCTATACAAAATTTAACTCAAACGTAGCCATAAACCTAAATGAAAAATTGTAAAACTTATAGAAGAAAACGAGAGAAATCTTTGTGAGCTTGAGTTAGGCAAAGAGTTCTAACAAAAACCTGACACTGTCATGCGCTGATGAGGATGCAGAACAGTGTTGCTGGCAAAGCAAAAGGATGCAGCCACTGCGGAAAACAGTTTAGTAGTTTCTTATAAAGTTCAACATACACCATTCAACAATCAGTCTCCCTCCTAAATATTTACCCAAGATAAAGGAAAATCTACGTTCAACTGCTTATGTCAACTTTATTTGTAAGAATGAAAAAAAAACCTAGAAACAATTCAAATGCAGGGGCCTTGAGGAATGGATGGACAAACTGACACATCCGTACAGCAGCCCTGCTCCGCAGCGGGAATGAATGAACCTGTGTGCATCTCAAAGGCATTTTGCTGATGGAAAGAAGGCAGGCTCAAAAGGCCCACATATTGTCTAATTCCATTTTATGACTTTCTGGAAAAGACAGAATTACCAGGGAAGGTTTTTGCCAAGACAGGGTAGGCGGATGGTTCCACGACATTGTGGGTAACACAAGGGAATCTTAGGGGGTTGGTGATGGGACTGTTCTGTATCTTGAATGTGGTGGTGATTACACAACTGTATGCATTTGTCAAAACTCAAAGAGTTGTACACCAAAAAGAGTAGATTTTACTGTGTGTAAACTTAAAACTAAAATTTTTAAAGGTAATAAACTCTCCTGGTTACTTTACAGTCGACCATTATTTCTGCTCTCGAGATGACTTATGTCTGTCATATCTGGGTGGTGGAGACACTAATCAACAGTGCGCACCTGTGCTTTCCAGCCCCACCTTCAAGACGTCATCTTCGTGGCTAGAAATCTGATGGAGTATTCGTGGCTAGAAACCTGATGGAGTATTTACACCATGGACACTGGGAAATGCTACAAATCAAGGCTTAATTTATTGTTTTGTTGATTGTCTAGACTTCAAGTGATGAAGAAAATGTTTCAAAAGTGTTAATAATGCTGATTAAACTTAAAAGTGTCATCTATCGATAGCACAGAAATCTGAAGGAATTGTCTTACAGTATTTGACAGTTATTATCTGATTTAGCAAAGAAGTCATTCGCTGATGAACAAGTGAAACTCCCACAGATGTTTTTGTTGTTTCACTTTCATCTTACTCCTTGACGTTAAGTATCAACCAGCATTCTTGTCAGAACCAGACTCCTTTGTCAATTACAACTGTCAGTTGGCTATGGATGCAGGATTTCAACAAAAATCATTGAAATCCTGTGAGAATCAGTAGAGAGTATTGTGTATTTTGTTATTTGTGAATTGTGTGCTACAATCCCTTTATAGGAATAAAATGTATATAAATGATGTGTGTGTATATGTGTGTATATGTGTGTGTGTGTGTGTGTGTGTGTGTGTGTGTGTGTGTATGCACCCCCTCCCAGCTCTGCCCTGGAGAGCTGGTCATTACCCATTTATCAACATACCACCAAGGAGAAGGGCACCAAGGTCTGTCACCTGGACCACCTCAACCTTAGAGGTCAGTAGAATGAGGTTGTGTGGAGGTGAGCAGGGCTTGGTGAAGGGTAGGGACTGTGGTAATCTCGAGAAGTTGCAATGAGGGAAGGGCTGGCCACCAACTCCAGGTGCTACTTAGAGGAGGACTGGACAGAGGTGTGGGCTGGGGGCGTGGAGGAGGGAAGTAGAGACAGAGGGCCTGAACACTCATCTAAGGCCCTCTGGGTAAGGGGAGGGAGGGGAGACATGGACTCAAGGAAAGCTTTTTGTATTGTCTTTTCTTTTTAAACTATGGGATCTATCAGAACATGTTTTGTATGCTGATGAGAGATCCAGAAGGAAGAAAAATTTGTGGAGGCAGGAAACAGGAGATTGTGGGGCAAAGTCTTTGAGGAGGCTAGGGGGTGGCTTTAGCCAGGGACCTGGAGTGTTGGTGCATCCTAACAGGCATAGTCCTAAGAACCTGGGGCAGATGTGGGTGGGGGCATGAGGGAGTTTCCAGCTAGTCAGCCTTTTGAGAGGAAGGTTAGGGTGGGGGAGGGGGCACAGTCCCCTGCACTACCCTCTGGGGCTCCAGAAGGGGTGATCACAACCTGGTGGCTTTGGAGGGACTGGATCTTGAAGCTAGAAGGGGGTGTTGGCTCTTGCCAGCTGTGTGACTTTGGTGTAAAGACTCAGTAGTAGTAGTAGCACCGATACCTCACAGGTTGTAGAGATGAGATGGGGGGTTGTGGGTTAAGGCCTGACATGGGCTCTGGGAGTGTCCACCACATAGCAGCTTCTCTTCCTTCAGTGGAGAGATCACCTTGGCCTGGGTGGAGGTTGGAAGCTGTGAGAATTAAGGCTGCAGAGATGAGGTAGGACCTTTGAAGTATCTGCCCAGGGCCCATGGGAGGTGGTGCAGGGTGGTTAGCAGGGCAGCTGCTGCCAGGAGAGGAGAGCTGGGTTCTGTAGTCCTTGGGTGCAGGTAGTGGCCAGAGCAGGTGAGAGGAGTGGCCACGCCCAGAGTGCCAGGCTGGTGAGGCACTGTTGCGGATGGAGGTGTTGTTGAGGGTCTTGTCTGCCCTGCTGGGAAGCAAGAAGCCTCAGGATGCCAAGGGAGACCATTCTTTTAGTAGGTGGCAAAGGATCACAGTGAGGTAAGTCTCCCTGGTGCTCAGCCCAGGCTGCACTGCCCTAGGCTGTTGTCTCTGAGATGGAGGGTTTCAGGATTTTTGGGTGGTGCCTCCTGTCACCTGTTTTTAGCCTCCTAGTATCTTTTGATAGATTGGTTGAAGTCAATGAATGGTTCAAATGGTTCCTCAAGCATGTACCAGACCCTTTTCTGAATGATGGGGTGAGAAAGACCAATGCTGTCTGTTCCCCAAAAGAATGCAGGTCAGGCCAGGCCAGCAATGGCAGCTGTGGACCAGTGTTTCCAGAGTGGTACTTGGATGATTTTAGATAATATATGAACATTTATCAAAATGTTATTTTGATGTATATTAGAAAAAGTGTAACTAGCATATCAAACATGATTTCACAGATACTGCTTAGAAGGAGATGCAGTTAAACACGTTAGTCTTTTTAAATATGTAATGGTATTGAGTTTGGGATGATGTTATGGGAAAGGTGCTGACCAGGACATGGTGATGGGCTCACAGGGAGAGCACAGGATCCTCGGAACCACCTCCAGGGGGCAGGGTTACAGGGCCAGACACACTGCAAGGAGGCACAGGGCTGCCAGCAGAGGCTTGACTCAGGAGGTGAAAGATTTTTTTGCTGTGAGGTAGAGAATGGATAATGGATGCTGGGGGCTGATGTAGGCCAATTTAGGAACCTTTGCAGCACTGAGATGAGGGATGGGGCCTTGGCCTCTGCTGGAGAGAAGTGGATGGGTTGAGAGGAGGTGGGTTGCTGGGGTGTAGGACATCCAGCAGATCAGGTGAAGTAGCTAAGGACAGACGGGGAACTAGAGCTTAAGCCTGGAAGACAGTTTTGGAATGTGACAAACTGATGGCAAGAAAAGCCATGAGAATATTCCAAAGTGTCAGCATGGATCCTGAGAGTCGGGGGTTGGGGGGTGAGTAGAGGGAGGCCAGAGCCTTCTGGGTCCATCCCTCCTGGAGTTCCCTGAGATTTAGTCAGTGTCCTGGGCTTTGGAGAGTCAGCAGTGAACAAAGTCAAGATTCCTGCCCCTGTGAAATTTACAATAGAAACAGATGGACCTGTAAATGTAAAGCAAGTTCAATGCTATGAAGGGAGGCCATGGTAGGGATTTTTCAAAGGGGACTTGTGAAGAGACACCTGAAGATCTTCAGAAAGCACAGGCATATCTCTGGGGAATGCGTTCCAGGCAGTGAAACCACGTGCAAAGGATGAGTGACAAAGAATGGTGAAGGGAGAGGCTAGAGAGGGCCCAGAGACCGAAACCATCATTTAGGACATTGGCTTTTACTGGGAGATGGAAACCGCTGTAGATCTGAGCTGAGAGAATGACACAATCTGGCTTGTATTATGGGGATTATTGTGACTGCTGTGCGGGTCAGGGGAACAGGATGATCAGGGAAGCCCAATGGGGAGGTTACTACAGTGGTCTGGGTTCAAGTGACTGGCAGTCCTCCTCTTGGCATTTGCCCCCTTGTGTTGTCCCCCTCCCACAGTGTACCAGAGTTGGTCTGTGTGACCAACAGAATATGGTGGCAGTGACAGTTATATTACTTTCGAGATCAGGTTTTAAAAAAACCATGCGGCTCCCATCTGCTTGCCATTCTCCTGGATCATTCACTGGGGAAGCCAGTGACCACACTGTGAGCTGCTCTGTGCGATGGCCCACGTGGCAAAGAACCTAGGCCTTCTGCCAGCAGCCATGTGAGGGAGCCTGGAAGCAGTTCCTCCAGCCTGTCTAGCCTTCAGACACTGCAGCCTCACAAGAGACCAAGTCAGAACCTCCCAGAGCTGTTCCTGGATTCCTAACCTTCAGAAACTGAGGTAATAAGTGTCATTTTGGCTGCTAAGTTGGGGCAATTCGTTACAAAGCAATAGGTTAACTAATATGATGACCAGGTGACAGTAAACAGAAGTGGTGAGAAGTAGTTGGACCCACAATACATTTTAAAAGAATTTGGACAGGTGGAGTTTGAGATACTACGACATCCACGTGGAGTTTATGAGTCAGGCAGTTGTAAAAGTCAAGGTACAGGAGAAGTCGGCAATTAAAGCCAGGAGCCTGGTTAAGTTTGAAAGCATGAGTAGAACCAGAAAAGAGGCCCAGGTACTGAGCCTGGGGGTCAGCACAACTGTTAATGACTAGGCAGAGGTGGAGATGGGTCCCCCAGTAAGAAGACAAAGCCAGGGTGGAGCGTTCTAGAAGACAAGTGAGGAGCTTTCGGGAGGAAGAGTGTGTTCACCTGGGCACTTGTACAGCGAGGTTGGTAAGATGAGGAAAGAGCCAATCAATCTGATGGTGCTGGCAGCCCTCTTAATGGGGACGGGAGTCAAGTGGCGGGGAGGAGAGTGGACTGGAATGGCAGAGAGAACGGGAGGGGAGGGAACGACTAATATACATCTCTTCAGGGAGCTTTGCTTAAGGTGCAGATGTTGGCTGGGAAGGGACATGGAGTTTGGAGGCGGCTGTTATCCTGGTATGGTTGTAAGCTGATGGGAACTCAGAAGGGGGTTTGGGGTGATATCCATGGAGACTTTAAGGACGCCTCCAAGGTTCTGAACCTTCCCCTTGAAGGGTGGACACAAGAATTCCTGACATAGGCATGGCCCTCCCTGGTGGGCTGGCCTGGAAGGTACAAGGGCAGGCTGTGTGGCCCTTGGCCTAGATCAGCGGTGGGGAACCTTTTTTCTGCCAAGAGCCATTTGGCTATAACATTTCAGGGCCATACAAAATTATCAACTTAAAAATTAGCTATGAAAAAAGCCCCTACATTTATCGAATTTTGAGTCCCACCTCTGGTTGCCTTGGCAGGGCAAGACCAAATGACTTCCCGGGCTGGACATTCCCCATCCCCGGCCTAGGGCCATGGGCATAGTCCCCTTGCTGGGACACTGGGGGAAGATCCAGGAGATGTTTCATGTAAAACCTGACTCTGCTGGAAGGCAAAGAAAACGACTTTGGCTTCTTGGACTTGGTTTCATGGTGGAATTTATTGGGAAAAGTTAGTGTAAAAAACATTCAAATTCATAAAATTTAAATAAGACAGTAAAATTATACCTTGTAGCTATAGTAATCGCTATATTAATCACAAATAAGGTAAAGTCTAAATTATTGCCTAAGCAAACACTATTTTGTTAGGCTTCTGTTGCAAGCCCAAGGCAGGAAACATTGTGATTATTAGAAGTGAGCCCAATGATGTATTTGCATTTGAAGCTGAACAAAAGGAAACAAGCATGTTCTGATTATGGCATCACAACATTCTGGCCTGAAAAAAGCAACTTTATTAATATGTCCCGCAGCAGAGCACATTAGTAACTGTAACCATGCATTAAAATTCCCATTTCATGTCATAGAGTAATGTTTTCTTCATGATACATTATGTTTTACGTGGTTTGTCCCTCTCAGGACCTTTCTAGGAGCGTTCCTTCTCTGGGCACAGCTTTCTAAGACACCCAGATTGTTTGCCCTGGGACATCTTTGGCATTTAATACCAGCCAACTTGCCAGGACCCAGGGCTGGTAGAAGGTCCCTCCCTGAACAAAGGGTTAGTCAGATCTCCCCTTCTCTCAAACCCTAATGCCACACCACACAACTTAGTCAAGAATGTTACTAACAAGTTAATGTGGGATTCTCTTTGGTTATGGAATTTTTATTTTTATTTAAGCTTATAAAAAATATAGCTAGAAATATGCTCCTGAATTCT